TCGTGAAAAAGATATTAGAACCATAACTAAAATAACGACCGCATTTCCCGAGTCGTTACACATCGAATACTACGTGATTGCTTTACTGAAAATAGCTACATATAACTTAGGGTGTGGGCACATATAACAGACATTCAGATGTATTTTAGAACATTTCAACAAACACATATTGATTGTATGATGTCGTTGGTGTTTAGCTCGAAACTTTCGGTGCATAAATCATCAGACGACTATTCTTGATATCACAAGATAACCCGTTGATAGAATTAATGCATTTGACAATCAGATATCGTATTCCGAAATGAGTAACAATGGTGAATTTAATATGCATGTATATGAATAAAAACCACAGATGAGCTACTATAGCCTAAATTAAAGTTGACTGGAGTTAATTCTAATCTTTCGATATTATGTGATGGAAGTACTAAATCTGCTATTTGAGTACATAGGCTTTGAAATTCAACGTCCACATCACTAAGCATCTGCTTAATGTAAAAAATCTTAGGGCCTATGATAAGGCTTACAACAGTGAGATTGTATACATACCGACGACCTAGAGTAAATGGGAATTTCACTCCTTATCAGCTTAACATTCGTTCGCTCTATTTATCTCTTTTCTGAATCATTAGACCGAAATTGTTTAAGTTATCTGTCGACAGGCTTTTCTTTGAGGATGAAGCCGAGCATCATTGTAAGAACAATGGTCACTTCCTAGTAATGAATGACATCAGTTTTTTGAATCCTATTTTTAGCTTAAAAGGATACCACAGCTAATCTATGTAATTATAATCAAACAGATGGTTCCAGGCATTCTTCACCCGTTGTTTCATGCCCTCATTTACTTTCGAATACATGACAGAACAATTCTAGGATTGCAGTGAACCAACTGATGATGAGGTAAGAATGGCAGATCAATCGATGAAGTATTGAAACTTCAAAAGTTGAGGTGGTTGGGACATGTGTTGCGTATGCCGAACCACCGGCTGCCTCGTCGAGCCTTGTTTTGTAGTGTGGGAATAGGTTGGAAGAAAGTTAGGGGCGGCCAAACCAAAACATGGCAGAAATCCATGAAGTCATTGACAAGTGGACTGAGCCATGTCGGTAATTGTCGACTACCTGGTTGGGGTCCGCGAGATGATAATAATCGATGGTTAGAGACCTTGAATGACATGGCTCAAAATCGTTCGCAATGGCGCCAGTGCATTTATTCTCTGTGTTCTCTCAAATGCTAATCTTCTGGATTCTTCAACCCCTCTAGTTTCGACTCTCTAAACTTTTCTCACTGAATCATACTTCTTGAGTAGTATCTTCTAATCCTAACCTCTCCGATTATTTCTAATTCCCTTACTACCTCTTTTACTATTGGATTTGAATTGACGATTACTTCTCTGTGCTGATGTGGTATGGCAACATGAACTGATGTACTTATGTACAAAGTTCTACGTTGCATCTGACTGACTGACTGAGTGAACCAACAGCTCAGGGATTCTCAGTCCCAAGTCATTGCAACGTACAAGATGTATGATTCGCAGACTCCGAAACAAATAAGCAAAAATGCTTTTAGTTACGACTGCTTATTCTGTTGCAACTTGAATAATCTAGTTAAATCACATAACTGGAAGCATCCTGTCCTAAATTATTAATCAAGCACCAGATACCAATAAATGTTTTATCGGTGTACACATTATGAGGTTAAATCATCTGTAGCCTAAAATTTGTCAACTACGGGTCACGATCAATCAATCAACAGCAACATAGAACTTCTTACGTAAGAACATAAGCTCAGATTGACATACCACATTAGCAGAGATGTAATTATCAACTCAAATCCAATAAAGTACTAGCTACGATCAGAGAGATCAAGGTTCGACAGCATTATCCAAGAAGTAGAATCCAGTGAAATAAAATTGTAAAAAGGTGAAGGTGATGAGGTATTCAGAAGGTTACGATTTGAGAGAACACAATAAATGAATGCCCCTGCGCGATTGCAAACGATTTACGCTGTCTTTTAAGGTCTCTAACCATCGATGACTTTCGTCTAGTGGACCCCAACCAGGTAGCCTATATCTACCAACATGGCTTAGTCCACTTGTCAGTGGCTTCATGGATTTGTGCGATGTTTTGGTTTGGCCGCTCCGAGTTTTCTCCCGACCTTCCAATCGTGAGATTCTTTGGAAGGGTCTATCATTGAAAGGTGTACCAAAGAAGTACATTAACCTTATACAAGCTCTCTACTCGAACACCACTGGTCTGGTAAGAGCTTATGGCGAACTTTCATCGGAATTCTCTACTTCAAGTGGTGTCCATCAGGGATCATAGGTGTCTTCGAAGCATCGCTCGTACATTCTGGAAAACCCGAGTAGGCATTGACATAGTTAGGAAACGAGTACTGGGCAGGGATGGCAGTTCAATAGATGAAGTATTGAAACTGCATCACTTGAGGTGGTTGGGACATGCGTTACCTATGCCCAACCACCGACCACCACGACGAGCGATGTTTTGTGATGTAGGAGGTTGGAAGAAATTTAGGGGCGACCAGACCAAAACATGGCAGCAATCCATTGACAAGTGGACTAAGTCATGTCGGTAGTTGTCGACTACCTGGTTGGGGTCAGCGAGATGATCATAATCGATGGTTATAGACCCTGAATGACATGGCTGAAAACCGTTTGCAATGGCGCCGGTGCATTTATTCTTTGTATTCTCTCAAATCCTCATCTTCTGGATTCTTCAGCACCTCTAGTTTTGTCTTTTTAAACTTATCTCACTGAATCATACTTCTTGAATAATATCTTCTAATCCCAACCTCTCCGATTACTTCTGATACCTTTACTACCTCTACTACTATTGGATTTGAATTGACGATTACATCTCTGTGCTGATGTGGTATGGCAACATGAACTGATGTACTTACGTACGAAGTTCTACGTTGCATCTGACTGACTTAAAGCCAGTAACCTACGAATATCCTCTATTCTGACTGGCTATGTTTCGCATCCATAAAGTAGGACTGAGCGAACCGATGCGCAGTACACTCGTCCTTTAGTCAGCAAACGGTTATCTCGCCTACGCCATAAGTGACGCAAGTTGGCTAATGCCTATTGGGCCTTCTGTATCCGAGCTGAGATTTCGTCAGTCACCAGGCTATCGGCACTGATGAGACTCCCAAGATAAGTCAAGCGGTCTACACGTTCGACTACTTCACTCCCTATCAGTAGTTCAGGTGCCGATGAAACCCAATCTTGAAGCAACATTTTGCATTTCGAGGGGGAAAACCGCATCCCGAACATGCTTGCATTGTTGCTTAGGGTAGTCAGAAGACTGCATTTTGTCAGCGTCTTCACCAAGTAGGACTATGTCATCGGCATGTTCTAAGTCAACTAGTGGATCTCCTGGTAGAAGGTCCACTCCCGAAAAGTCAGACGAAGATAGTCTTATATCTAGAAGCAGGTCTATGACAAAGTTAAATAGGAATGGGTAAAGTGGACAACCATGACGGACACCACTTGAAGCAACAGATTTCGACGACAGTCAGTTGCAACGTAGAACTTCGTACGTATGTACATAAGTTCATGTTACCATACCACATTAGCACAGAGACGCAAATGTCAAATCAAATCCCATAGTGATAAAGATAGTAGAGGTATTAGTGGTATTGAAGAAGACTAGGGTTTGAAGATATTATTCAAGTATAATTCAGTGAGATAAGGTTAGAAAGGCAAAGGTAGAGGTGCAGACGATTCCAGAAGATTAGGATTTGAGAGAGCTAAACGAATGGATGCACTTGCGCCACTGCAAACGATTTTGAGCCATGTCGTTCAAGGTCTCTAACCATTGGTGACTGTCGTCTCGCGGACCCCAACCAGATAGTCCACATCTACCAACATGACTCAGTCCACTAGTCAGTTACTTCATGGATTTGTGCCATGTTTTGGTCTGGCTGCCCCTAGCTTTCTTCCAACCTACTCCTGCACCACAAAACATAGCTCGTCGAGGCAGTCGGCGGTTAGGCATTCGTAACACATGTCCCAACCACCTCAACTGATAAGGTTCAATACTTCATCTATTGATCTGCCATACTTACCTAGCACCCGTTTCCTAACAACAGCATTGCTTACTCGGTTGTCCCACGGTATACGAGCAATGCTTCTTAAACTTCTATGATGTTCCGACGACAGCTCTAACTCGACCAGTAGTGTTCGAGTACGGAGCTTTGATAAATTTAATGTATTGCTTTGGTAAACCTCACGATCGATGGAGTCAAGAAATACAATTGTGGGGCGCCTGAACGTGTCTTTATTGTAGGACCTAAAGTAGAGTGAATATCTGGTATATACATCCATGTACAGGTCAAAAACCAGCCTAGTTTTCTCTAGTCTGCTCTTCACGAGCTTTAGTTAGGCATCCGAGTATTATTGAAGCCAATATTTTAGATACTATATTAATTAGACTGATTCCTCTGTGGTTGTCACAAGAGGACTGCTGTCATTTTTTGTAGACTCGGACAATCAGTAGTGAATGAGACCAGCTACATGGGATTACGTTCAGTTCCCAGATTCTACCTAAGATCTCAGTCAATCTAACTGTTAAAACTGAACCACCATCCTTAAAAACCTCAGGGGTAATCCTACCAGGCCCTGCTGCTTTCTCTCGCTTCAGATCTCCTATAGCTTTTCCAGCTTCATAAAGAGTCGGAGTACGTATGTCGATTTGCCACTCAGGTTGACTGGAGATCGTGGGTAGCTGAAATTTGGCTGAACGCTACTTGGAGTGTGTCAGCTTAATTGATTTGTTTATTTATTTTACGAAGAAATAGCTTGCAAAATGTCAGAAACTTAATTTTATATCCACTGGGATTTTAGAAATATATCGATAATTCTGGTGTTACAATCTATATGATGCTCGATTTTTTTGACATTTTCAAGTGAAACGTTGGTGATTAAGCTCACCAACGTCCCATGAAAACTAGAAGGTAAAAGATGAATTAACACAACAAAAATCGTTTACCAAAAATCAAATCGACTTAAATTATTATTATTAGTGTATTAGTTACATTGTAAAAAAAGGAAACTAAAATATAGTAAATAATATACAGTTAGCTGAGAAATTACTGGAAATTCATCAATATTAGCCAAAATGTTTGTTAGCAATCCTTTGGACCCGTTTCGAGAAGCTGAAAGATGTTATTCGTTTTTCACGTTCAAAGAAAGGATTAAGTGCCAACTAAATTAAAATGTCAATTTTGACTAGTCATAATCTTACCTTGATATAGGCTTCATAAGTATCTTGAAAAAAGTACTTTATACGATTTTCATTTGATTCTTCATGAAGTAAAATGAACCGAAGTCCTATATATTAATTTGAGTTAAGGCAATTCATAAATAAATAGGAGTCTTTGTTAATAGAAAATAACAGCATCGACTTGGCATACAAAACTTGTATTCTCATTGAGAAATCAAGCGCCTTCTTACAATCATAAAAATGACAACGAACTGTTCGACATAGACTAAACCTAGAATAATTACGAATAAACCTTTGCTAAGTCATAATATCCTGATGCTTCGTTAATAACACTACAATCACGAGAAGGCAGTGAGTAGGACTTCTGTGGCAGTGGTTATATGAGAGTATTTAGAGAGAGAGAACGAACTTTCCCCCTCTTCGGTTGCACCATGGCATTTCGGGGGCAGTGTAATAGAATTCAAGTTGTTATTAATGATTATTTTCACGACTTTTAGAAGTCGAAATTGTACCCACTATCAAGATGGTAAACGACACTTTAAAACACGTTTCTCCCAATTTGATAGTTTCTACTAAATAACATTAGGATCAATATACATTTCTGAGGAATGTGACCGTCTTAAAATTACCCTTCTACACGAGAATTTATCCACTGAATGATTTTTTAATACTCCCGTACTTATCGTTATTATACTAATTTTTACCAATACGGAATGTACTTTGTTAATTTGTAATCATTACTGTAGTCTCAAAGTCGTAAGCATTTAGCGAGAATCCACAATACTAATCTACCTTATTCTGCCACACTAGTTGTTCTAAAGTAATTCAAACTTGTACAATAATAAATTATGCACATGTATTTCAATCTCACAAACTTGGGGAAAATCTTACAAATTTCGGGAAAAATTTAATGATAGATTTAAGGTTGATGCGACTGAAAGATCCCCTTGGTCTGGGATAATTTCTTAAAAGTAATTTGGAATTACAGCGAAATCAGCGTGAATTTTGCGAAAATTCCGAGTACAACCGAGGATTTCATATGACTTTGGGGCAAAATACGGACTTATAAATGACTCGGGAGAAAAACCTGAGATTTCCTCATAGTCGGGAGAATATGATGGCAAGTGTTTCATCAATCAGAGTAGGCATCATGAATATCTCAATAGAGTGCTGTAGAAGCAGCAGGAAATATAATCGCACTTTCCGATAAAGAGGAATCAAAGGACTACTAATATAACGAAATAAGTCGATATTCTGAATCAACCGCTAGTGCCGACCTATGAATTATACTGAAAACTTTTCATACAGAATGCATATTACTTTGAATTAATATAGAATAAGAACTTAAATTATTGAACCCTTCAAGGTGAGAAAAGCGATTGAATAAGAGATTACACTGAAAGCTTTTTGGTACATCAATTATCAAACTTTTAAAGTGTTTATAAAGGATACTTCCTGGGGTCACGAAAGCTGAAACCAACCACTCGTTAAATTTGTCTATGACCTTAAGGTACGTGTCAGCTTTAGTCCATAGGTGATCGTCGACCATATCTAATGCAGCATGTGCTACAAATTGGTTTAAGTGGAGACATTCATCTGCCTAAAATAAGAAGCCGTCTGCAAGCATATTGACTACCTTGCTTCCTGATGTTTTGCTCGGCGAATTATAGTCTAAATCAAACAATGCCTCATCATGAGGCCCACAAATAACAAAATAGTACCGCCCAACCATATATTGCAACGCAACAATAAGACTCAGCGCCAACTATTCAATATCCAGTATCTATTTCACGATATTGTATAAACCAATTGATTTCTTATCCCTCGAATCTTGTTCTTTCGACAAGGTTCCAAGTGTTAAGTAGTGTCCAATGAATGGAGGTCTAGCCACTCGACTTTCTAATTCTAGTCAATTAGCAGTTGTTTGTTTGTTTGTGCCATGAATTTAATGAAAACATTTGTTTCACAGAAGTGGGGTTGCTAGATATCAGCGGCTACCACATTACAAAACCAGAGATCAGATACTTGCAGTGTGGAGAATAATTAGTGAAACATTACAGGACTAAAAATAAGAGGATTTCAGAACTAAGTAAATAAATGGATAATTAGGTTTAATGATTGGTATTGAAGATTGTGAGAGAGGACCGAAGTGTTAGCAAGGAAGAGGAAACAGAGATAGGTGAAGGAGAGATAGATTAAGTTATTGATATGAGGAGATGGCAATGATAACAACTAGCAGGTCTCCAGACATGCATCAAGCATAGCTTGTCCACGAGGGAGATGATAATCCGTATGTGAGTATATGATTATCAAGTCTCTTCTTAAATCTGTCCATTGAAAGGGCTGTTGTCACCTCGGCTGGGAAAGCATTCCAAGTTGCAGAGACTCTCAATGAGAAAAAGTGTGCACGAATTTGAGTATTCGCTCTTTGATGTGCAACCTCTCGAGGTTTACCTCGAGGGGAGTTGTGCTGATGCATCAGTAAGATACTCACGATGGGATGGCTTGGAGTGCTTGATACGTTGTACGCCATGATCAGATCACCCCTGATCCTCCTGTAACTCAGTGTAATAATCGCAAATGCTGGAGTCTATCTTCGTAAGGTTTGTTCTTCAACCCTATCACCGATTTCGATGCTCGCCTTAGCACTCCATCCAAGTGACTTATGTCCCTTGAAGCAGAGTGGATGAGATGACATTGTGAACCTCCAGGTATGGGCGCGCGTTTGTCTTAAATAGCGTTAAGAATAACTGTGGGGGGATAGCACCAAGTTGTCTTCGCTGAAATTGAAGAGTCGCATTTGCCTTGGCTGCGTCCTCTATATAATTAGGACTCGTGTGGAAGCTTTCTGTGGTTGTCAAACCGAGATCGCGCTCTGAAACATTAGGGGGCGGACTTCCTTTGAGGGTGTAAATCGTTTGTGCAATGTGGGGAATAATATACATGACGTGACACTTCGGTTGGTTGAGTTTTAAACCATTTTTCACTGCCCATTCTTCAATAGATGTAAGGTCCTTTTGAAGCTCAGTCGCATCCTCTACGCTCCTAATGGACCTCCAGATCTTTGCATTGTCTGTGTAGATCAATTCTGGTGAGATTAGTGTGCCTAACAGGTACTTAATGAATATCAGGAAGAGAGGTAGACATAAGATGGTCCCCTGTGAATTTCTCAATGTGGATACTCGCCAGCTCGCGTGCACTCTATTTACCTTGGTACGAAACCATCTATTCTCAAGTTAGTTTCTGAGCCAAAATAGGAGTGGGTCGGTGAAGCCTGTTTCCACACCTCTTTCGATTAG